AGGCAGGGGTGTAGCTCAGAGGTGGAGCATGTACCTTGTAGGCACCAGGTCCTAGATTTGCTATCCAGCACCAAGTAAATGCTTACCTGTGGAAACAAGGAGATAGCTAAGAGGTTAAGAGGTAGGAAAACATTTCTAACTTCCCCAATAGGCCACTGGTTCAAGAAATGCTGCCCTCCTCATTTCCTTGAAGGGTATGGTGGCCCAAAGACCCCACACTGAGCAGGTCCAGAAAGCGAGCCAGCGACCATTGTTTCAGCCTGGCTGAAGTTCCATGAGATTCCAGCCAGGTGGGCAAGCCAGATGGCTGGCAGGAAGTCTGAGGCCATCGACAGGACAGGCTTGACAGGTCTACTACCTTCACTTGGGGCAAATGGCAGGATGGCCATGTGCTTGCTTGCAGGCCACCATACTCACAGTGGCTTCTGCCTAGAGTGGACTCAGCCATCTGTAACTGCATTTAACTATGACTGGAAACACATGAAAGGCATCCCACACTTCACAAACATGGTCAAGAAGGAACTTTTTAATCCAGAGGGCTTTTCAGGGTGATGTATTACTTGGCTGATTTTGGTATGCTGTAGGATCTATAAATAATCCCTACCACCAGGCAGGATGTTAATTATACGATGCAGTGATTTAGAAATAATACATTATTTAGCATTTCCTTAAATTGTTTCTCAACCCTCTGTTAACACCCTTCCATAAATGGAGTGAAATTGGTGACTTTTGAGCATAAATTTAGTACAGTCCAGCAGGCATTTGGGTTTCCAGTCTAGCTTACACTTAAATGTATTATTTGTAAGCCAAATGAAGGAAGACAAACCTGTTGGTCCTCAGTGTGTGCCTCACTGTTCCCATAACCTGCAGACCCCAGCAGTACTCAAGTGGCTGAGATTTGTCACTACTGGACATACTTTTAAAACTGGAAAAAATTAAACCTGCCTGCTATTAACCACATATTTTAAACTCATGATACTGACTTGGAAATGCTATCAGATAAATTTGGAGATATCATTTTAAAGTTGCTGGATCTTTTAAAATCATGCAAATACTTGAAAAGTCATTGCTTTACCATATCATTCAGTTTCTATAATTACATAAATGACTTCAAGATTCATTGTGGTTATTTAAAATTAAGAAGCCCAAGTAAATTTATGAAATAGTTACTTTACTGATTGCTATTTAAGTCCACAGCCATTGAACTAACCCAGGGTCTAACTGTGCAGTTCAGACTCGTAGTGATCCTCCTGTCTCAGCCTCCCCAGCACTAGGATTATAGAACTGTGTCACCACACCCTGATTCAGGGCCAGCACAGAGAGCCTGGGGTTCCAGGATCAAACCCAGGTCTTTGCCCTTGCCAGGCAGGCACTTAAGACTGCCCAGTTATCTCCCCAGCCCTATTGTTAGCCTTGTTTTCCACCTTAGATGAACTTGTTGTAACTGAAGTGACTATAGATTCCTAAATAAGGAACATGGGCTAATTATAGAACCTTAATGATGCGATTTTTTCGGTAACATTTGCAGAAATTTAGGAGAGTCATGCCTATGAAGAAAACACTTTTGGGTAAAATTTAAAATTTTCAGAACTATCTTCCTGTCAATTTTCATTTATGAGGGAAACAAATCACCATTTTCATCAAAGTATAGCAAACCTTTAGTACTAACAATCTGATTTCTGTATGTATATCTTAGCAATTCTAAGAACTATTGTAATGCAAATTCAATACAAAGAACCTCTGATTTTGATTCTTTTTTCATTAAAATTCCCCATCAGTTTCCAGTGGAAGCTTTATTCAAAGACGGAAGTTTATCCCAGTTCTTGGTCATTAAAACCACCTTGAACATTACCAAGTTAGATTAACAAACCCACCTAAGTCACGGCTTGGATGGTTAAAATAGCATTAAAACATTTTCAAACTTAACATGTTACATATGTAATTGCTTTCAACACAAATGGGCAGAGTACAGTATTTTAAGATTCCCACATAAGGGCCTAAAGCTCCTACCTGACCTTATACATACCTGATATATTTAAATCTATACATAGAATTTTTAAAACAAATGGGTTTTCACCCATCAAACATTTAATGACTCCAAATCAAGAGTATTCCGTAGCACTTCTTACCAGGAATCTATTAAGCAATTATGTATCAGTGTCACCAAGTAGCCTGAATTTCTGCACTTATCCTGTGCATGCATTATCTTGATTTTTATTAATTCTAATTTTGCAATTGCTTTTACCCTTGCAGCTAAGCTTTTTTTTACAGAATAAACCACACAGTACACTGACATGTTAGTGGTTCAGCTAAAATGATGTAAAAATTAAGTTCTACATTTTATAGTAACTCTGGCTTTTCTTTTAAAAATTCAGCATAAAAAGCCCTACCCTATAATACTGTTCGCTAGTAAAAATCACAAATGAATGAGTTATTATTGTACAGAATGACTGGGACAAAGACAGACAGTTCACATAAAGATGCTACCTCTGTCAAAACATTTGGAAATCCAGTGTTAAGTAAACAAACTGAACGCTTTCAGACAGCATAGTTTTTGTAACAAACTGCTATCGATGAACAGACTTCCTGGACAGCTCACCCTCAGAGGACAGAGCCGACTTTCTCCTTATCTGCACACCCAGTGTGTAGGGCAGGAGCTCACTGAATGGTTGGGTGGATCCTGCAGACCCCGGCCCCACACTATAGGAAAGGCCTCCTAACGGAGAACAGCCACTTGGAAGGTTAATGGTCTCTCTTATCTAGGTTCAAACAGGCCTGAGGTCACCAGCAGAAGGGATTAAAAGTGATCCTGTCAGATGGCAAATTAGCCTGGAAAATGTAGAGCAATTCTACACCCCCCACCCTCAAAGTCAGAAATGTCCTGGGGTCAGTGTCTCAGACAAACCATACAATGCCAACAGAAATTTGAAGAGAAGGGGGAAGATACACATCTGAATGCTCCTCTCATTCAGGTACCAGGGAAAGAGATACACGGCACTTCATTTTATGAAGTCCCCTCTGCCTAGCTTTTCTAAGTGAGCTCTGAGCAGCAACCACACCAGGATCTGCCCTCACCAGTCCCTGGGAGAAGACTCAGAAACTGAGAAGTGCCCCTTGAAGGAGCAATTTGGCCACCATGTTTATATCTGTAGTCTCTGAAAAACTCATGTTGCATTTCATTTATCTCTGTTGCTTTCTTTCACTTTTCTACTAGTTGGTTTTGACTATACTTTACAAGGAATGCTGATCCACATGAATTGAGAATCTTGTGGCAAATGGGCAAAGTCTTTTGCAATAGGTAGGTGAGCAAGCACAGCTCCACCCCAGAGAACCCAATATAAAGTTTCCCATGAACAGCAGGCTTTTACACTTGGAAGAATACTGATTCGCCTACAGTCATCTCTTAAATCAGTTAAGTATTAAGATTCTTCAGAAGCAGATAATTTTGCCCATGAGTAATATGCTAAGCTCCTTTGATTAACATCTGAATTAATATAGAAATATTTGAATTGAGGGCCAATGCGATACCAAATAATCAAAACTATTCTGATAAACTGAAACATTAATTAACAGGTTTCACTTGGAAGAGAAAGTTGTGTGTGAACAAATGAGGTTGGGATAACACATTCTCTCCCCTGGCCTCTCCAAGGGAGGCATAATACATATCTGTATATTAAGGATTCTGGGAAGGGCAATATTTATAGATATGTTTAACTGTATGCATATGACCCTCCTTATCTAAGCTCATGTTAATACCTTACTTAGAAAACACAATTTTGGAAATGCTTACAGTGTCAATAACCCTCTAGATTAGCAATCAGAAACTTTCCCAGAGTGTCATATACTGCCTCTTAGCTTGCTTTCTTTAGAGGTAAATCAGGGGCTGGGGATGTAGCTCAATGGCTCAGTGCCTGCCTGACAAACGCAAGGTGCTGAGTTCAATGCCTGGTGGGTAGGATGGTCTGCCCACCCCACTATCCTAACTGAGCTACCACATCAAATGAGTAAATTAGCTAACATCACAGCAAGAAAGTTCCCCTTAGGCAAGGAATGGGCTCCCAGTCTTTGTCCCACAACCTCTCCCCCTATAGCCCAACATACAAAAGTGCTAGGCGATTTCCTAACATTCTGTAGAGTGTTTAGTGCTATCTCCCCACCCCCACCCCAAGCCCAAAGGAATTACTATGCCACTTCCTTGGAATTCCCTAGAATTTCTTAGAGGCCTCCTTTGACAGATATGGTTGGTAGGCACCTGCCCACCCTTCCTTGGAAATGCAGGGTGGACCAGAGTAGTCAGGAGGTAGTGGTGCACTTGGCAAAAGCTCCAACTGGGGCTCATGCCCACCTGGCCACAACAGCCCTGCAGACCTCTCTTGCAGGAGAGGTGGTGGATGGGACCAGAGTATGCAGGAGCCTGGGGTGCTTCCCAGGAACACAACCACCCTCCTCCGTAACTACCTGAGAGTACTCCCATAGTACACAAGGCACTCAGCAATGACCAGTTCAGCTGGATCAATACTACATCTCCAGGAGGGAGAGCAATCTAAACACAAACAGTATCACAGCTCTGAACAAGACACAGCTCTGAACAAGACAGAGCTGTGACAAAGGACTCTGACAGCCTCTCTTTCCCACCCAGGGCCATAACCCAGCTCCTATTCAATATAGAATTCCCTATTTCAACAATCGATAATCACATTTTTTCCTTCAAACAACTGTTACTTTCAAGTTTTGCTGCTTTTCTGTTTACCTCACAGGGGCCCCAGGATTTGTACCACTTCTACAAGGTCATGTGGTCAGTGAAATGTAGGACAAGGAATTGGTTTTTTCTTCTAATCACCAAACCACAAGGTCTTTGTTAAGGTCAAAATTACCATGAAACATTATTTACATAGTACACAAGGCACTCAGTTCTGCAGCTGTTACAAACAGGAGCCACAATGTAAAAGAATAAAAAAAAAAAAAAAATCAAGAGATAAGAAGCCCTTCACTTTACTTACTGTTCACGTAAACAGTAAATGTCACGGAAGCACTGACATCAGAGTTGGACACGAGAAATGTGTAAGTGCCTCCTTCGGTCGCTTTTAACCGGGTGAGATGAAGCTCGCTGACATATCTACAAAGAAAGGACAATAAATCAACCCCTGTGGACGGTCTGCCTTGAAGCCACGTCTTTCTCATAGTTTCCACATGGAAATGTGTGTCTGTTTGGAGGAAAACAGGATTCATTTAATTCAGTATGAACAAAACCTGTACTGAGAAACACACAATTTGGGGCAGATGCCTACCGTGCGGGTGCAGACAGGCGCTCGGGCTGCTCAGCTCAGCCTCTCCAGCCCGTGCCCACTCCCTGCCCCTCAGCTGCCCTGCGAGCGCTTCCTGCTCTGCTCTGCCAGTCATGCCCACTCCAGCCCCCCTCTCACCCATGCTCTGCTTGGCTGTGAAGCCTCCACCTGGTGAAGCCGCTGGCACCCACGAATTCACCATCTTCTCATGTGCCACCCCACCTTGCTGCCTGCAGAGCCTGAGCCCCTGGTTCCGCTCCTCCCTTACACGCTGTACTGCTCCTCCCAGAGGCCGTGACCACATCTGTCATTCACATTACTGTTGGACTTCTGGGGTGCCTGCGCTGGTGTGAAGATCCCGTGGGCTCCCACGTAGCCATCCCAGGAAGCAGCGCCCGTGGCTGCACTCACCCGCCTCCCACACCACACACCTGCCAACCTAGTCTCACTGCAAGCCCCTGCTAGCCGCATATAACTTCCAACCTGCACCTCTAGTGCACCCTTCTCTGTCCTGCACCTCTGAGTGGCACGCACCCACCCACCGCCTTGCTATAGGAGCAGCTATCATGCCGCACCCCACAGCCCTCTCTGACACCACCCACGCATGTTGAGAACCATGGAATGTGGACAATCCAGCAGGGTCTGCAGTGCACCACTGACTTCAATGGGGAGAGCACCCAAGGTCACGTGACCCATGGCCTTGCTTGGTTCCTCTCCCCATCTGTGTCAGGTCTCTTCTTCTGCATGAATCCTTTGCTTCAGAATTCTTATCTCTGGCTCTGCTTTCCAGAGATACTTCCTATGATACCTTGTACCTGGATGGACATCTCCATTCAAGAGTCCCTCTTCGACCTCAAATTAACAAACTCCAAACTGCCCACACTCTCCTTCCACAGAAACTTGCCTACCTCCTCCTCTCCTTGTACGATATGGCCTCTTATCATCTACCCTTTCAGAGCACCTTTAGTTCTTACCTTCTCCAGTCCCCTTGATCACCAGGACACCTCTAAAACCCATTCTCTTCCCCAGCTAATCCATAGTCCAACATCATTTCTCACCTATAACCCATCCTCTAGCAGACAACATTTCCTGACTGAAAAAGCACTCCGACTCTCTTCAGGCACCTACTTCTGGTCAGTCATTTGCTCTTGGTCAAGTTACTTCACGTTTCTGTGCTTCAGCTTCCTCTCCCAAAAGTGGGGAAGCAAGAGCACCTACAAAGAGGTTCGTGAAGACAGAGGGAGTATGCGCAAGGCACTTATGACCTGCCTGACAGGAAACAGAGCATGTATAAAGTATTATTATACTATCTTTTTATTATAATATTTTGAGGATCAAATGAGAGCTGTGAGGTAAAAGTTCTTGAGTTCACTGCCCAGCTCAAAGCTACTGTACTTAATGATTCTGGTTTCTGTGATTTTTTTTCCCCCCTTAGGGTCTTAAGAAACAAGTAAAAGGTACCAACTTGCCTCTTTCTCTGTAAAGCATCACTTATTTTACCCTGAATATGATTACTGCTTTGGGCTATCCTCCAAATTCTAGGAAAGGACTGTCTCTCATTTTACAAATGAGAAAACTGAGGTGGAGGTTCTGTGTGTGCGCGTGCGCACACCCATGGACACCAGAAGCACAGCCAAAGGGAATATTCAGATGAGGACTGAAGTCTTCCTTCCTTACCTGGGACTCTTCCTCACACTGAGGGGTGACAAGAGTGTCATCTGAGAAGGTCAATGAGAAGAGGGGCACAGGCATGATCCCCTAGGGCAAGGCCCATCCTTACCTGATGTTACTTTTGTTCACAGACTTGGGATAATCTTCCCATTTGTTGGTGGAAGTCCTGTTCATATACATCCACTGCTGGTGTTGCGGTTTGGGGTATGCCTCATAGTCAACAATCAAATCTACATTTTCTCCATCATTTACAAATATGGTAGTGTTCATCATTGGGAAGATATTAATGAATCCTTTATCTAATTAAAATAAGATAGAAACTGTTATCTATTAGCACTATCTTGACAAATAAAAAGTATTACCTCCTCTTGGGACTTACAAGATGATCAACTACCTGACTTCCAGTACTTAGTGGCAGTAATAACTAAGGAAAACCTAATGGTTGGGTTATCTTTCATTTTGTCTTTGGAGAACCACTGTCCTAATTTGAGAAGGTGGACACTGGAAAATACTGACTCTCCCATCTCGGTCTCTGAAGCAGCTCTCTGAAAGAATTTGTCATCATCTCAAAGGGCTTCTCCATCTACTATGTCTTAATGTTTATTAGGTTAAAATGTATTTGCACTACACAGCCCAGATTCAGACTGCATGAATTTATGTGATCAGAAGGTGTCAGAAGTGAAAGGAAAGAGACATCATGTCCAATAAAGATGTCAAAAGAATGCCACTTTGTATATGAAGAAAAATAAACAGGCCTTCTCATATGTATTACTGATAAACCAGATAGCATTTTAACAATCAAACCATACTTTTAACCAAACCACAGAGTGGACTCCTCTCTGGCTTTTAGAGAGGGGACAGGTTTTGAAGTTTTCTGGAAGCAATAAAAGGAAAAAATGCCTAATGTTTCAAATACATAAACATCTACTGGGCACAGTAAAATTAATTAGGGTAACAAAAAAAAACGACATTAAAATTTAAAAGAAAAATTGGCTAAACTAGCAATTAAAAGTATGATACTGCTTTTCACTTATTAAAAATAGCAAAACTAATTTAAAATAAATTCAACAATCTCACAAGTGTGATAAAAGTAGCATGCTGTTTTACACTGTAAAACTGGCACAGTTCTTTTAAGAAAGAATTTAGCCATATAGATTTTTTTATAAAATCTATTTTTAAATCAAATCCTGTAATTTCCATTAGAGAGTGTTTCTTAAGATGGAGATACATACCAAAAAAAAGTGCCATTTGTACTGTTTATCATTTTTAAATGACAAAATAAAGAACTAACTAAATAATATAGCCTCAGAGATGGTCATATATGCAGCAGCTTGAAAAGAGGCACTAAAGTAACTGCCAACATTATTTTTATAGTCACTATTTATAGAATGTTTACTACATGCCAACTGCCCTAAGCAAACATTTTACTTAGTATACACAATGTTTACTCTTCCATCAATACTGAAAAATAAAGATTTGACCTCTATATTATAGACAAAGAAAGAGGTTATAGATTGAAAGCCTCTAATTTACAAATAGAGCATATAACCTCTAACTTACAGATGAAATAGATGATTTCTGTTTGGCTCAAAAGCCACACAGCAGAGACTAGCTTTGACTACACATCTGAGACATTAAGGCTGGCCTCTGCTTTCTATAGCACATCCTGGAGTCTCTATATATTTTTGGTGAGAGACAGTAAGAATATAAATAAAATTGTATGTATAATTCAAACTCTTATATACAAAAATAAAAGCAATGTATCAAAAATCCTAAAAATGATTATATTAAATTAATAGGATTAGGAAAGAATCTTAACTTTATTTTTCAAACCTTTAACATGAACTATAAAATTATCATTCACATTGATGCTATCTAGTTACATACACATTTTACAAAAGGAGCTCACTACAGTTTCTACTGTTCTTTACTTTCCTCTATGTTCAAAAAATATGGTTGCACTATCCTTTTTCCACTGTACCAATTAAAAAAGGATTTTTTAGATGAGAATGAAAATCATCCATATAAAAATTGGAGAAAGATGGAAATTCCCAATCCTGCACAGGAAACATAAACAATATATTCTCTGCCCTTCATTAAGCCAGTTAAGGTTAATTTGAAGGCATAAATTTCAACCTGCATGCTACATTGAACTCTCAGGTTGTCAAGCTCAGAAATTCATAGTACAAATGCAAAATATCAAAATATTTCAAATAATATTTGCACTGAGATCATTTTCTTCACAATAGTCATATATACATACTTAAGTCCCCCTGAATTTTTTGTCTCCTTTGCTCAGTATGCCTCATAATGGAAGGGAGCTTCAAATTCTCACTGCTATAGACAAAGTATCGAAGAACTCCACCCAAGTTGTTCTAGTACAAAGTATGATTTTTTTCACATACTTCTGCATTAAGAAATTAGTGATACGCTAAGAAGTAATCAAGTGCAAACTGTTTACCTGACAGTTTTATGGAATCTACTGCCTTTTCTTCTTTACACAGCCCTGGCAGTTATGAGACTTTCTCAGAAAAGCAAATGCAGGCAGAGCTAAAGCAAGGAACACTAGAAAGCTAAGTGGCAAAACCCACCACTCAAACTCAGCCAGCTCCTAGCCACAGCTACAGCAAGGAGTAACTGTGTGACATGATGCATTATGTTAAATTGCTTCACCTTTTCTACTGTCTGCCTACAGCATCATCATAAGCATAATTCAGCTATAAATTATTATTTTAGAAGTTATTTAAAAACAGGGCAACTCAGGATGGTCCCTCATCCTTCTTTCCCCACTCCACGATATCCCCAAATCTCAATCTTACACCCTAAGTATTACTTTTCTCTTTGTCTCTTCTCATTCCTATTCCACCACACCTCACTCCCAAAACAATATAAAACTAGATTCAGATTTCACAGCCAAAGTCTTTCCAGTCACACATTTATAATTCTTGGAAATTGATGAATGGATTTTTCAAATCCGATTACATACAACAATATGCTCAAAACATCCTTACTAATTGCTTTCTGGAGCTGAAGCTGATATATCAACATGCTCCCTAATCAACTTAGCAAATTAGTGCTTATGGCGTTTAATATTTTAAAAGCATAGCTTTCTATTCAAATTAATAAATGGCTCACAGTCACGTTTAGGGACAAAGCAGTAGTCATTCTGTGCGCTGACTCTGTAATTGCAAGAGAAACGTCTTTTCTGGTTCAGTCTGGTTGAGATACTGTCCATTAGAGAACATCTTTTTTTTTTTTTAGCAGTACAAGGGATCGAACTCAGGACCTTGCACTTGCCAGGCAGGTGCTTATGCCACTGAGCTATATCCCCAGCATGTGAACATGGCTTCAGAAACACCAAAATTTTATGAGATGATTGTGGGCTAAATCAAAGCTTTAATACTGCTACATAAATTATTGAAGAAATCGGGAAGGGGAGAGGACAGATAGGAAAGCAAATATGGTGTCATTTTAGTAATACTCAGGTTAGCAAATTTCACCACCCTGCGCATTTAATCAAAGCCAAGCACCAAGAATATGGTTACATTAAAAAGACAAGAAAACAGATTAAATTCAAACAATACTCAGAAGTTCTTTAAAAAGCACAAGTGAGGGGGCTGGGGAGATGGTTCAGTAGAATAAGCGCTTCCCTGGCAAGCGCAAGGGTCTGAGTTCAAGCCCCAGTTCCTCCCCCCCCAAAAAAAAGCGTAAGTGAAATAATTTTAAAATAATTATTTTGTTTTCAGTAAAGCAGACATGTCAAGCAACTCCCCTGTTCTCTTCAGTAGATGCTTGGGTGGGATTTCTAGAGTAGGGAAGGCAAGGCTAAATGAATTTTGGGTAATACCTGCTCTGACAGGGCTAGGTGCAGGTGAGCATGGCTGTGTGGATGCTATGTAGAACCCATGTCACAAGGAGTCTCCTTCCTGAAGGCTTAGGTTACAATCTTTATGTTTTCAGAACAAAGTGAGGGAGAGAGGCACAAGAGGCCCAGTTCATCCCTTACAAGAAATGCACAAGGGCCAAAAAGTGACAAGCCACAAGGCAGGGGAGCCCTACTACAAGCTTCAGAGAAACACTCCAGTCTCTGAGTATTTGTGCTCTCTGACAAAGTCTACAACGACTTCAAAACTCAGATCTTTCATGAAGGACTAGAATTTCAGAGAAAGCTCAACTTCCACTTGTACTTTGCTGGGTGGGTCGGTTGAGGAAGACAGGTTTAACTTCAGCAACATCTTTCTACTTTCCTCTGTTAGACGGGTAGAACTTACTTCTGTGTGCCAGTTGTAAGATGCTGCAGGGATAGTACTCATTCATTCATTCATTCGGTGATAATAAAATTCTAAGAATCTGTTCTTAGAATTCCATTTGCATAAAAAGGAAACTGTCTAGTAATTTCTTTTTTCACTACTGCCAGTAATTTATACATTCCCATAGAGATATTTACCTACTACTTTCAGAGTTGTTGTGACATTTGCTGATCCAAAAGTATTATTGGCGTAACACATGAACACTCCAGAGTCATTAACTCTTGTTGAGCTGATTGTCAACGTTTCCTGGCGTTCATAATTGAAGTCACCCCGGTGCCAGCTACTACGTTTTACCTGTGCTTTAGTTAGCTGGTTTCAGAAGGGAGGAAAAAAAGTCAAAGATTACCATATAATTTATATTCAAGATCTTTCCTAAATTAAAAATAGCAGCAATTAACTTCTTCTTATTAGCATTCATTATACATGACTTAAGTAGGAATAATAAAACATCATGACAAGTCTGTCATTGGAACCCTTCATATATTACAGAATCATACTGAAAGACAGCCATTACTAATGATTGCAAAAAAAAGGGACACTAATTTCAAAGTCTCTATAGTATTAAATTTTAGAAGTTACTATATTAAACAATTACACAACACTGACATTTTCTGAGTCAGCATATGCATATTATTGCCTGTTATTTATCTCGTTCTATTGTATATCCAAGTGATGAAGAAAACACACTGCTAATAACAATAATGGTTTATTTTATTAACATCTCTTATCTGGAGAAATGAAAACAGAATCAAACTGTACTCAACTAATTCGTAAATTCGTCCTATGTAATTCTGACGATTCCAGAAGGGAGTGCCAAGGTACATGTACCATAAGATCAAGGTGCAAAGCATCTGAGAAAGGACTGTGAATTTACCTTTGCGGTCTCCCTCCCACTCCTTATTTGTCTGCAGACAAGATCCTGCAGAGACTGCTTGATCGATCGATCGATCTATCCATCCATCCATCTGAGCTATATAGCTCTCTTAAAAAGATTAAAGAATTGAAAACAACTTTATGCCTCTTCCAAATTTTCTAAATTTTTAAATTTTACTTTTTTATGTATTTAGTACAGTCTATAGGGTGTCACTACAGATCAGACTTGTAGTGATCTTCCTGTTTACAGCCTCCCAAGCACTAGGATAACAGGTGCGTGACACGATGCCCAGGGTCAATTGCTGTCTCCGTGTGCCCTGGGGGAGGGGCCAGCAAAGCATGTGTTGCCAGGGATCAAATCCTGGTCCCTGCCAAATCTTCTATAAGGCACACATTCCTAATGGGAAAAATAAAACAATTAAAAAGCCAAAGTGCACAGGGGCTGCTACAGACAGGGAATGAACTCCTGCACAGTTCCTCGGAGGCTATGTTGGTCCTGACGTGGTGGGACAAGAGGTCCATGTGCCAAGTCAGAACAATCCCTCTGTAAAGTAGCTTGGCAATACAGTCATACCCTGACAGTCTCAGTAGTCTATTTCAAGAAAATAACTTTAAAAAAGACAAGAACTCCAAGATGCTAACCTGATGCTGACCTAAGTGTCTATCTGGTAGAGACAACGAAAATTCTGACTATGTGGCAAATAAATGCTAATGTTACCTAAACATCATACATGGAATCAATCTTAAAACTACAACCCTGTGATAAAATATGCATGGGAGAAGAGACAAAAAAATATGAAAACAAATTGTAGGTGCTGTAGCATTTATAAAGATGGCAACTTGTAACCACTAAGCACTTAGCATTTGATAGCCCAAATAGAGATATGTTGCACATACGTTTAAAATGTTACAGATTTTGATGATTTGACATAGAAAACTAATGTAAAAAATCTTACTAATAGCTTTTAAATTAATTATAGGATGAAATAACATTTTATATACTGGGCCAAGCAAGATATATTGGTAAAATCAATTTTATCTTGTTTTTGCTCTTTGCAACATACGCACAAATTGAAAATTACACATGAGGTTCATTCATGTTCTACTTTTGCTATATACCATTATTTTCCACAAAGGTGGGATCGTGCCTATTTCTATTTTTTTACTAACGATATTATGTGTTGGGAATTTTTTTGGTGGGGTGAGTGCTGGAGATTCAATCCAGAGCCTTGTACTTGCTAGTTGTGTGCTCTACCACTGAGCTATACCCTCAACCCAATTTTTGAAAAAAGTTTTACATCAAAATAAGTATGCATAAAAGGTGACTGCTGGTGGCAAAGAAAACGCAAGGAAGTTGTGCCCTCCTGGGCAAGTCAGATCCCACCAGTCTTAGCTTGAGTTCTAAGAAGGTTATGAAGAAAGGAATGGGTCTTCCAAGGCCCTTTTGGGTTGGAAGCCACTCCTGAGTTTCGTGTATAATTGGCAGAAATCTGTCATTTTTCTGCATGAGATCACTAGCTAAAGAAGTAGCAGCAAAGCAAAATGACCTATTCCTACTGGCCCTTGAGGCCACTGTTTTTCAGCTTTCTCTCCAAAGGCAGTGACAATGATTAGACCTTTTTTTTTTTTTTTTGCAGAACTGGGGATTAAACTCAGGCCCTTGCGCTTGCCAGGCAAGCACTTATTCTGAGCCATATCCCTGGCTCCGATTAGAGAACATTCTAAACTGAACGTATCTTCCCTCTACCTCTTTCAGGAGGCCAAGTGTCCTCAATGGGGAGGGAAGCAGGAATGTGGGACTGGTCAATGTCAAGCCAAATGGCTTGGTCCTCAGCGAAGCAATATCCACATATAAAACAAAAGCTCATAACATGGGATACCATCAAACTCAGAAATAAAACAAGTACAACACTAGATTTTAGAACCACTAGGAAAGCTAACCAAGATGAGTATGTGTTAAATAAATGTCAAGATTCTTCTTACACTTACATAAATCACTGCAATAACCCCAAAACCCATTTTTACCCTAAATCTCATGATAAATTAACCTTATTCTAAATGATTAAAATCAAATATTATGATTTTTAAGATACTTTAACAGTGCTAACAGTATTCCAAATTAAGCCAAAAATATCAATAAAAAATTCATGGGTGAACACTGGCAGCGAGCCAGGAGCCCCATCTGCAGTCACACATCACATATTGTTCGCACAGGATTTGGTTTTCTTTAACCCTTGGCAGTGCACACTGGGATTTCCCCAAAGAGCTCCCAGCACTAAAGGTTTATCTACCAGCGCCAGTGGATTAATTGGGAATGGCACGCCGGGCTCGTGGGAAAAGTGGTGCCGAACCAAACGGCCTGGGGCAATTTAATTTCTCATCTCAAAAAGGCTACTTTTCAAGTTATAGAGGCTCAAATGTATACACACAGTCTAAATTGTTCTCTCATCTGAAAGCAAAGACTATAGAAAGCCAATTAATATGGTACTGCGTCCTGTAAAGTTAGCCAAAAATCCATACAGATGCCATTATTTTTATTTCATTATACAATGTGAAAACTAAAATGCGTTTCCCTGGGCCATTGGTTTGAAAGAACAAGTCTCTGATACAAACTGTCCTCCAGACCAGTGGCAGGCTTGGTGTAGCCAGATATGACCCACCACGTCTACGTGACCACCACCCCAACATTCTGCACAGGCTCATTGTCTCGGTTGGCTGCTTAGCAAAGAGCTTTTAAATAGGCATGAAATTGCCAATGTTGAATATAGGGAATGAGGAAGAGGACAAATCAAATAGAATACGTTTTTCTAATTTATATATACATACACATTTATAATGAAGAGAAACCAATGCTAGCCAGTTAACCAGGTGACCAAGATAATTCAAAACTATTATTAAAATCTTGTTCAGTTAGAATCCCAAGGCAAAAATTTAGAGAAACTAAGACAATTTAAAACTTCTGTTATATTTGATATAAGTACTGAGAGAGAGGGAAGAAAAACCCTTCAAATAAAACTAAGTCTGATGCACTCCTGTAATCCCAGCACCGAGGAGGCTGAGGCAAGAGGATTGTCGTGAGTTTGAGGCCAGTCTGGACTACACAACGATCAGGTGAACCTGAAATACAAGCAAGACCATCCCAAAACAAAGTAAAAACCCACCTGCTTAAAGTTGGCCTGGGATGTGTCGCAGTGGCAGAGTGCTCTCCCGGCATGTTTGAGGCCCTGGGTTTGATTCCCAGCACTGGGTGCACACACACACACACACACACACACACACACCAAAGATGTGGCTACCACGGTAACTATGTACAGCAGCCACTGAATATGCATTTGATAAATGAATGAGAACGTGAACAAGTCCAAATGCTGCAGCTTAAAGATAACCATCTTATTCATGGTAACTAAAACAGAAAACCATTAGCAACTTCATCTCAGATAACCTGCCTCTAAGGAGGAAATCAGATCCCTACCTACCACGCCAAAACTCTCAAGTGATAAGGCCATTTTGGAAGGAAGAAAAGACCTCTCTTGTTCACATCTAAGATTGTTTATGTTTTGTAAATATGGAGTGGAAAAAAGGTAACTTTCTCTGAGTCATCTGGCTTGAGCAGCACAATAGCTTTAAACCAAGCTATTTATTCATGCAGCTAACCATTTTTTTTCTTTAATGTCCTTACTCAAATCATTCAAAGAAACAGCGTTAAGTAGTAACCCGAGGCTGGCGCTCTCTACAATTTTCTCAGAATTTACAACATGACAGCTATTTGTCACTAATGTGGAAGTACATAATGGGCAGGCGTGCGTCCGAACGTGCCCAGGCAGCGTCAGCTAGACAGGCACAGCAACGGACCCGTGCCCTGCACACGCTTTCAGAGAAGAACCCTAGAATCTCCCATGCAGACAGCAACACATTAAGACAAATGAAAGAAATCACCCACTCACCTGACTGCTCTCCTTTATCCACATCGCTCCCACGGAGCTAGACACATCTTTTATTGTGCACGTCACCATAAATTCTTCCCCTTCCCTCAGAAGATAGCTGGGTTCAGACACAGACACAACTGGGATAGCTTTGATGGCTGGAAGAAAAAGAAATGTGGCCCGCTAATAATTGGCTCTATTGTACCATGAAATTTTAACTTGCTTTTCCCCACTACAATGTACATAGCTTCCTCTGTCATCTTTTAAATAAAATACAAAATGTGGTACTGACCTACCTGTCTTGCTCGTTTATCTGAAGACCTCCACAATTAAGTCACATATCCTTAGGTAAATTCCTTAATACTGAATGACAAGGTAGGCATGTCTACCTGAGATCATAGTGCTTCTAGAAAATGCTTTTATAAAACAGAAGCCCTGGCATAGTGAAGCAGCTTTATGATTTCATGGGTCTGACTTATACATAATTATATTCATTTAACTAAACAGGCATCATCTTTCTCCCTTCTTATACAAATAATACCTTGCTTTCTGCTGAAAATCCCAAGGTGTTTTTTTTTATTTATTTATTTCTTTTTTGTTGTTTTGTTTTGAGACAGAATTTCACTATGCAGTCCAGGTTGGCCTAGAACTTACTTTGTAGCCCAGGCTAGTCCCAAACTTGCAGCAATCCTCCTACCTGAGCCTCCCGAGTGCCAGGACTACATGCGTGTACCACCATGCTCAGCTAAAATCTCAAATTTTAAATAATCACGTTTTCCTTAATTTGAAAAAGCATCTTTTCTTCAAAAGCCCTAATAAATACTCTAAAGCTGAATATCAACTAATATCAGATTAGGTAATTTCAAAATCTAGATCACATTCCAGTACTGAAATATTATTTCTAACTCCACAATAATAATCAGCCTCACTGTCACTTGTTTCTTTTTCAAATCTCAAGTAGTTTGAGAAAGCATCAAAACTAATTGGTTACAGAGAAAAGCCAATTCACAAGTCAATAGTACATTAAAGAATGAATTAGTAATCCCATATACTCCGGAGGCTAAGGCATGAGGATCATAAGTTTCAAATTCTGGACAATTCAGAAACCCTGTCTCAAAGTCAAGGGCTGGAAGTGCAGCTCAGAGGCAGAACATTTGCCTAGCATGTGTGAGGCTCTGGATTCTACCCCCAATGCTGTGGGGGAGGGGATGGCTCACTGGTAGGTCATTTCAAACAGTGTGATTAAAATTTCCTCCCCATTGGGTTCCTTACTGTGCAAATGCATGACGCAATCACGCAAGTGTAAGACCACCCAAGCTAGTAGATTTATGGCCGTCCCAGGTTGGCCTAAATGCCAGTCTGCAGCAGACATACCCACCCCAGCTAGTGAAAGCCACAGATCACAACTTGGGCTTGGGATTGTGAAGTAATAAGCAGCTATCTCAATCTGGAAGCCAGGGGAGCTCCTGAAGAGCCTGGGTCCTGCTTGCCCACGCTAAGGCTGACCAGCAAGGAAGGGAGAAAACAGCTAGATGAATAGAGTCTCTGGTGCCCAGAAGGCACGGGCCATACCTGCCCTCACTTTCAGGACGAATCTGTCCGACTGCACCGACTTGCCCTCCCGGATGGCAGTGCAGCGGAGACAGAGGCGATGGTAGGCACGCTGCACATTTCTGATGGTGATTCCAGCCTTGGGGTCAGGCACAAACATTAGGTCCTTGGGGAGAGGCTTCCCTTCACATTCCTTGAGGGAATAATTGGTCATCTCTGGGTCCGTCAGTGGACAGCGGACCAGCGTGTCATTATCTTCCTTCCCATACAAGGGAAGGCCAACAAGGAAAGGCCTGGCAGGATCTAGAAACAGCAAAAATCAGTAGTTTAAATGGCTGGTCACAAGCATTTGTAACAGATCTAAAATGTTGCCTTCTGGGATAGTCAAATCTCTGTGTAAACAAAGCAAAAATTTATCCAGTTAGAACAAGTAAGAGTTAACATTAAACACTTGCCATGTGTCTGCAGTGTTTTATATAGATTATATTATTTAATCTATATAATATCTCTATGTACTAGATTGAGTAGGCTTTTCCCAAAATGTTTGAGATAACAAGTATTTCAGACTTTGGAATATTTGCAAAGACTTAACCAGGTGAGTATCCCTAATCTGAAATCTACAGATTATTATATCATACTGTAGTTGAAAAAAATTCAGATTTCAGATTTCTGGATTTGGGACAATTCAACTTACGTCATTATCACCACTTTAATGGGTGAAGCAACAAATCTCAAAAGAGTGACATTCCACAGGTGACACACTGGAAAGTGCTGTGTAGTCCTCAAATCCAAATCTGAATGATTCCAAAACTTGAGCTCTTACAAATCTGAGAATATTTTATTAAATTGCCCCCCACCAACAAGAGCAGCAGCCAAGAGTAAGCCAGTCTGATGATCCCAACTGAGGGCACAGGAAGGGTTCTCCACCTCTACCATCTCTGTGTGGGCAGGATCTTTTTCCCAAGCTGCCAGGGTCCAGAACGGTTCAGTTCCTGGAGAGAACCTAGACATCACTGAGCAGAATGGGCAGTGTGAAAAAACATGTCAACCTCCCTCTATCCACATTTCTAAAGAGAACTACAGAACATCAGGAAGAGAAGTAATCTCAAGTACACATAAGAGCTAAGTGTCTCCGGGATACCATGGCAAACACTGTGTTCCCCAAGCCAGGACCCTTGCGAGTGAAAGGGGCAGTTTGGGTTATACCACAACTCCAGACATAGGCGGGGAATGGCTCCAGAAAATGGAGATGTCCCACAAGTGATGACAAGCCTCCGTACTGTACAGGCACAGTCTGTTGCCACCCCCTCTGTGAGACTGATAACACAGATGAACATGTGGGCTCATGGATGACATTTAAAAATCTGTTTTCAAATTGCCCTTTCCAACTGGAAATCAGGTGTGCTAACATAGCTGAATTTGACATCAAGATATACCTATATTTGATAGATTAATTTTTAAAACAATGACAAAAATGAAGTACATGCCTCTCGGCATTAACTAATTTCCCTGTGAATAAGTTACAATAAGATGGTCAAATTATGATGTGAGCTAAGAGTTGGTTATTCTCCCATCTGCTCATTTTCAGCCTCCAGACCCTGTCTCTTAGAGCAATGGCCTGCTTTCTTTCATGGCTGTCACACAGAGTACTTCAGAATCTGAAGATCTTAAATTGTAATCATTATAGATGAATCTAAGTCATAGAAGTGTGTGTCCTCTGTGAGCCAGTTGGCTAATTCTAAAGTTTTCCTCAAGTATTCTATTTTCTAACCTATCCTATTAATAAGCAGAATGATATTTCATTACCATCTGGAAATTACAGCATATAGGCTACCTCAACAATGATGGAACTGTAGCCCAAAGCTCAGCTATGGCTATCTGCAAGTACTTCTTCTCAGCTACCCACTTAGGACATGACAACTGATAACTAAGGAAAGGTGCAGT